ATATATATATATATTAAAATAAACTACTACTTACTACTTGTACTACTATTCCTACTTAGCTGTTTTTCACATATTGCAGGGCTTCAGGGCAAAGATCCCCCATGATAAACGAGGGGCTACTGTATTCTACACTTGTGAAGGTAAGCTGAGGCAGATTAGAAATTTTCATAAAGCTTTTTTTTTTTTAAATACTGTACTTGAAATTACTTTTTATGGTAAAATAGACAGAAGCAACGAAAAGCCAGCCATGATAGAAGCCATTAAATTGTTATTAAATTGTTTTTTCTGTTACATGAATAATACCATTGATAAACAAACCGCTCATCCAGATCTGTATTCATATATTGCGCTGCTTTTTGAGGTATTTGGAATGTACAAGAGTGTATTTTTCAGATCAAACAGAAACAATACAAAACAAACAATTCAAGCAGGAAACAGACGGAGCTTTGTCTGCTGAACAAAGATGTGCTTGTGAAAAGGCCTTTCTTTCTAACACACCTTTCTCAAACAAAATTTGTTCTGTGGCAGCTCATAACTGTTGCAGAGCTGCACACAATTACAGGATTCACACATTCTGGAAGATTAAAAGAAGAAAAGAAATAACAAAAAACATGACGTCTTACTCTGTAGACGAGTTTCTCCGTGTTGACGTGTTTGGCCATCAGCAGTGAGAACTTGAACAAGTCCTCAGCAGACAAGGAGCAGAGGAGCTCCTGAGTGGTTGTGGATTCTGTGGAGTTGCACTGTTGCAGGTTTATCAACCAAGTCAGCATCTGTTCCAAAATGCATTGTAAAGCACATGCAGAGCGTAGTTAGAGGGTATGTTATACACAAACAGGTGTAACAAGTGTACAGGTGTAAACATCTGTGGAATCATAATTATCTTGTCAAGTTACAGGAAATTGTGGTGTTATTAAAACTATTGATAATGACACATCAGTGAAGACTTTAAATGCTTAAGTCAGGAGTGCCCAAACATTTTCATATTTGTGCCAAAACTTTCCAGATAACAGGACTCATGGGCCACAAAAAATGTGAATTTAACTTTTAACGTGAACAATATTTTGGAGAAAGGACAAAAGTTTACTAATTTTGGTTGACAAAGAGTTTTAATTTGTTGTAGATCCAAAACATTAAAAGCCTCATAAACACTAAGCTTGTATATATTTTTAATTAAAAATTATTTAATTTCTTGGGTCTATTTGTTGTTTTCTTGTGTTTGGAAAGTTGATTTTAATAATATGAGTAATATGAGTAAGTGTCCTTTTAAAAGGAGGTCTATCAGCCTTTTGGACCGTGGACTTCCCAAAAGGCTGATCGAAGTTCTGAAGAATCATCTTGTCAGTCACTATAACAGATTCAATAAAGTTGATCAACTCGTATGTAGATGATACCATGTTATATTCATT